AATATTAATTTTTCTTTCCTGTTCATGAATTTCTGCTTTTCTTGTTCCCAGGAGCTCATTCTCCCTCAGAGTTCAACCACTGTCACAGATCGTTCTCTCATTTCACCCAGGGAAATAATGTTCTTGGTTTCTTAGCAGCACCTGAAACAAGATTCCTTTTCTATACAAGGTTGGCTGTGGTTGGCTGAAAGCCTTGCTTTGTCTGTTTCTCCTATGCCTAAACCGAAATCTTGGATATTATTCCAATGACAGGAGAGACCAGACTCACCTGTGCCAGAAAAAAAAAAAAAAAAAAAAGAGCAAAAGTCACACTCCCAGGATAGGCTAAGTTATACTCAAAAGGCTCCCGTCTTCACCCCCTCCCTCCAAAACATGATCTAATCAGAGTAACAGCACTTCTTCCTTCCCAGCAGGGTTATAAATGTTTTTATCTTAACTAATCCTTCGGGGGAGAGTTAGGAGGGTGTGGTGAAGACAGGAGCCTGTTGGGGAGAGTGGGGAGGGTGGGATGCAGATTTCTGGGGCTGTCCACCAAAAATAATTCTCTCCTTATTCCACAGTGATAGATGTTTAGCTGGGACTTGACTACTCAGATAGGCACCTCATTTGCCAGCTCCCCTTGCAGCCAGTTTGTGGCCATGTTGTTTAAGCCCTCGTCAATGGAGCTAAGCAGAAGAGATGTACGCAGCTTTTGCCTTGCTTTCTTGAGAGTAAATCCCTGGCCCTGGAATTCTATTTTGTCTTTTTTCTCACTAACCAGAAAATGCTTTGACAATGAGTGACCTTGGAAGCTACATGTTGAAAATGGCAGTTGCTATCCTCAGTCTCTGAATGTTTGAGTAGGGCAAAGCCATCCACCTACTTTGAACACTGAGCTTGGCTCATACTATACTGGACCTTCATTTTTTATTTTATTTATTTATTTATTTACTTACTTTTTGAGAGCTGGAGTGCAGGGGCATTATCACAGTTCACTGCAGCCACTTGACTTTCCAGGCTCAGGTGACCCACCCACCTCAGCCTCCCAGAGTACTGGGATTACAGGAGTGAGCTACTGTGCCTGGCCTTACATTGGACTTTCTAACCAAATCCTACCAGTTCTTCATATTCCACTACAAATTCTACTTCTTCCCAGAAACATGCATGAACTTCCCTCTCCCCCTCCACCCACCCTTTTGTTTGTTGTTGTTTTTTGGTTTTTGTTTTTTGAGACAGAGTCTTGCTCTGTCACCCAGGCTAGAGTACAGTGGCGCCATCTCAGCTCACTGCAACCTCTGCCTTCTGGGTTCAAGTGATTCTCCTGCCTCAGCCTCCTGAGTTGCTGGGATTACAGGCACACATCACCACACCCAGCTAATTTTTGTACCTTTTTTTTTTTTTTTTTTTTAGTAGAGAGGAGATTTCACCTGGCTGGCCTTGAAATCCTGACCTGAAGTGATCTGCCTGTCTTGGCCTCTCAAAGTGTTGGGATTACAGGAGTGAGCCACTGTGCCCGATGTCCTCTCCTCTTCTTGACCACCACATTAGTATCTGTCCCCCACACTTTTTGATGCTTAATGATACTGTTTCCTACTTAGTTCTATTTGGTATTGTCCTATTTTTGTTCATTATTTGGTGTGTGCTTCTTGTCTCTTAAACTAGAAGGAGCTCCCAAGATGTGACACTCTGCTTCTACTTTCGTTTCCCCAACAGCACAGCTATCATGGATGCTGATGGGGCCCCAGAGCCCCCTTCGCTAGGCTGCCGTCATCAGCCTAGAGCTGTCCCCATCCCCAGAGATTTGGCCTGAGTCAAATATGAGCATGCCCTGGGAGAGTAAGTACCCCTGTAGCAACTAGCAGCCAATGACTGATATAGGGTAGCAAAATAAGGTCACAAAAGGTGGGGCCAATTCTGTGATGAAAAAAGAGCTTCAGAACCTTTCCAAGGAACGAGGCTATTGCTAATCTCCAACCAAGAGCACTCCTTTGCTTATCTTTCTTCCACTGCTCTATTCTGCAGTAGCTCACAGCTGCTGCCTTCCCCACAGCTGATGGGAACCTCCTCAAAACCTTCTTGTCCCCCTTCCCTGCCAGGGTGGCCCACAACCAATGACTGACTGCTTTGGGGATACAAAAGGCCAGCTGCCTTGTCTCAAGGGAGTGTAATTCTGCTGTGGGACTTATGCCCCCATATATAACAGTTCCCTGTGGATCAGGCTAAGGCTAGATGTGACCGAGACACACTTTGTATGGTACTTTCCCTTTCCTGTCTACTCCACTCTCTCCCTTGCAGGTTTTTCCTGAAAAACACTTCCCATCAATGTCTGTCGGATGGCCAGGTGTGGTGGCTCACGTCCATAATCTCAGCCCTTTAGGAGGCTGAGGCGGGAGGATTGCTTGAGCCCAGGAGTTTGAGACCAGCCTGGGAAAATAGTGAGACCTCATCTCTACTAAAATAAAATATTAGCTGGATGGGACGGAACATGACTGTAGTCCTAGCTACTTGGGAAACTGATGTGGGAAGATCGCTTGAGCCTAGGAAATCGAAGCTGCAGTGAACCCTGATTAGGCCACTGCACTCCAGCCTGAGCCACAGAGTGAGACCCTGTCTCAAAAAAAAAAAAAAAAAGACTGTCTCAAGATCTGTTTCCAGGAAACCCAACTTCAGACCACAGGTGTCAGTACTCTGCCATCCTTTTCCCAAATCACTTTCTCATTCATTTCCGGGGACTGTTCAGATCCATGCTCCAGGCTGTGTATACCATGGGACCTAAATTGGGCTGAAAGTACATGAAGGTGCTAGGTCAAAAACAACTGGGCTCTATGGAAGTACTTGTAAGGAATACCTACTTACTGCATAGGGTTGTTATGAGGATTTTAAAAGCTAAATGAGTTCAAGTGTATAAAACGCTTAGACCAATGCTTTGCATGGAGTAAATGCTCTTAAGTATTAGTGCAGGGACTTCTGGGATGTTTTTGTTTACTTATGCATTCCAAGTGTGCCTAGGTGAATGCTTGGCACATAAAGGCACTCAATAATACCTGTTGAATTGATTGGTTTTGCTTTGAGGGCTTAAGGCGAAGTGTCAGGATTTGGCCAGCAGAGGGCAGAACCTGTGAGGCTAAAGCTCCTACCGGCTTTGACTTACAAGCGGTTGCAGGACAGGCTCCCAGACAACAGGGTTGGAGGGAGGGCTGCGTGGAGTGACTATGCCATAGGAGATATATATATATATATATATTTTGAGATTGAGTTTCACTCTTGTTGCCCAGGCTGGAGTGCAATGGCATGATCTTGGCTCACTGCAACCTCTGCCTCCTGTGTTCAAGAGATTCTCTTGCCTTAGCCTCCCAAGTAACTGGGATTACAGGTGTGCACCACCAAATCTGGCTAATTTTGTTTTTTTTTTTTAGAAGAGATGGGGTTTCACCATGTTGATCAGGCTGGATCGAACTCCTGACCTCAAGTGATTCACCTGCCTCGCCTCCCAAACTGTTGGGATTACAGGCTTGAGCCACTGTGCCCGGCCACCGTAGGATATTAGAATGTTTAAATTTTACTCCCTTCAAATCCTATAATTTTATTTAGTCCAACCTGGGTGTGTTTAAGGAAACATACTGAGCTCTTAGTTTGTGAATTCAGGCAGATCCGTTGTTCCAGGCCCTGAGATCCCTGGAGTTGCCCTGGTGTCTGTAGCTCCTTCTTTAAACTTGTGAACTACCCCATACACTTCAGAAATTCCCTTCTGTACTTATGCTAATATACATCAGGTGCCTGTAACTTGCAACCGAAATAATTTGTATTTTATGAGTAAGCCCATGGAGTGTGAGGACTGTGTGAAGGGGAGCCTTCTCCACTGGGGACACTGAAGTCATAGAGTAGCCCCAGGAGGCCTGCTTCCTGCTGTCTCCCCAGCCTACCTGCCCTCATCAGGAAGGAGCTCCCTGACATCTGCCTCCAGGCTTCCCTGATCTTGTTCCCTTCATTCACTCTGCCCATTTAGCTCTGTCCTAGCTTTCAAAGCCCAGTTCAAGTTCTACCTCTCTCTGACTCCTCCTAGTCAATTTCATTTCTCAAAATCCTTATGGCATTCATCACCTGACCATTCATTCTTACACCCACTTGCGTCCCATATTTTATTTGGAAGTTTGGGCTGGGTGGTGTCTAAAGTCCTATCAGCTGTAAATTTCTCAATCTGTTGTCTTCCCATATGTCACATCTCCTTGAGGAAGTCTCCATCTTCTCCCTCAAGAAGAGATGAGGAAGGGTTTGAGCAACAGGGCTCAGCACAGGTTTGCAGAGCATCAACATAACCGCACATGGCAGCAAATGTGGCCCATGATCTCCATTCAAGAACCCAAAGGCTTTTATTTTTATTTTTTCAAAATGGAAGTACCTTTTTTCCTTTTATTATATAAGTAACATACTTATGGTCAAGTCAGTCAAATATTACATAAATTTATAATGTGGAAAGGGAAAATCACCCATAATTCAATTCCTCAGAGATAACTACTATCAAAATATTATTTCAGAGTTCTGCTATACACAAATATGCATGTTTCAATGGGTACTTCTGGGGACCACATGGAGATCCCTTAAGTTGAAACTGGACAAACAGAACAGTGGATGGTTCTAGCTGAGATTTGGGATAGTTTCTGAATTCAGAAGTATTCACCAGCCACATCGCATGTATTAGCTGGAACCATATATGAAACTACAATACTCAGCTGTTTCTAACCTACACAGTGATTACATATGGCTCCACTTAATGTATATGAAGCCTAGAATGTCAGAACTGATAGAGCCTTAGAGACTTTCAAGTCTATTTCATTATGTTGAAGAGGAAAACGGATGAGAGATAGAAGTGTCCAGCCTAAGATCATATACCACCTTAAGTGGTAGAATCAGGGCTGCTTCTCTTCCTACTGGACCATGTACCTACGTCTCATACTCTGCTTCTTTTAATATAATAATATTTTAGGTGTGATATCAGTCTTGTCTTGTCTTGTCTTTTTTTTTTTTTTTTTGAGACAGAGCCTTGCTCTGTCGCCCAGGCTGGAGTGCAGTGGTGCAATCTTGGCTCACTGCAACCTCCGCCTCCCGGGTTCAAACAATTCTCCTGCCTCAGCCTCCCAAGTAGCTGGGAATACAGGCATCCGCCACCAGGCCTGGCTAATTTTTGTATATTTTTAGTAGACGGGGTTTCACCATGTTGGCCAGGCTGGTCTCGAACTCCTGACCTCAGGTGATCCGCCCACCTTGGCAATATCAGTCTTTTAGAAGCAGATTCAATATGACCTCAGAAAACTCACAGATAGTCGTGGTGGCTCACACCTGTAATCCCAGCACTTTGGGAGACCGAGATGGGCAGATCACTTGAGGCCAGGAGTTCGAGACGAGCCTGGGCAACAACATGGTGAAACCCTGCCTCTACTTTAAAAAAAAAATATATATATATATATATATATATATAAATTAGCTGGGTGTGGTGACAGGAATCTGTAATCCCAGCTACTCAGGTGGCTGAGGCAGGATAATTGCTTGAACCTGGGAGGTGGGGGTTGCAGTAAGCCAAGACTGGGTTGCTGCACTGCAGCCTGGGTGACATAGGGAGACTGTCTCAAAAAAAAAGAAAAAGAAAAAGAAAAGGAAAACATTTCTCACAGAACTCAAAACTGAAGAGGCTGCTTTGGAGGTAGTTTAGTCCTGTTGACTGGCAATGTGGCTGGGAAGTACCCTGTGACTTGGTTCAAGAAGCATATGAACCATAGAGCTAACAAGGCCTAACATTCAGGGTCCTGACTCACATGAGCTCCTTCTTAAGGTCCTAGTAGGAGCCCTAGCAACATATGAATGTGGCAGTATATTTGCATAATGTTTGCAAAAGTAAGATATTTTAGAATTCTTTTTCTTAAAGAGAGTCCCCAGAATTGTATGACCTTCAGGCCTGGATCCACTCCTGTGTGGCACAGAGTTTTGAAAAGCACTAGGCAAGGAGACCAGAGTTCCTGGGTTCCAATCATGGCACTACTCAGGCCCAAATGGGCGGCACAGCACTTGCCCTGCTTTCTTTATGGGAGTGCGAGTGGGAGTGGTGGCAGGATGGTGGTGGTAAATCATATCTGTGATATGGGATAATCATCACTGCTTCTCATGGCTTTTGAAGATAACACATAAAAAATGTGTCCCCAGAGCATCTTCCTGTCTCATTTCCCTCTGCTACAACTTCTCCTTTCTCCAACCTTCAGGTCCCCAGTACTCCAGCCACTGAACCAGTTATTGGTCATTATCTGTTGCTACTTTTATATGTTTGTTCATGGACTCCCACTGTTTATAAAGTCTATCTTTTCCTGGGAAAAAATCCTTATGCACAAGGCTTCGGTCTACCAGCCCCTCTTCTCCCACCCCAGTGATGACCTCCCTTAGCCCTGTTTCTTGTTGCTCTTACAGATAGGGACACTGAGACCTGATGCAGTCCACAGCAGAGTTCTGGAGGCCCCACACGCAATCTGCAGGTGTCTTGGTCTTCCACCATTCCAGCCCTCTCGTGTTAGATCATAGACACACGGTTCTTGATATACACATGATAGGGGTCACTACGCTTGTCCACTTTGCGGGAGCGGGTATATCCCAGGATGAGGCTGCCCACAGTGACAGCAAATAGAAACATGACAAAGAGAATGTACATGTAGGAGTTGTCATCACGGCCAGGTAGGCTGGCCGGTCGCTCTTCAGTCTGGTTGTCTGGCCCCAGCCCTGGCCCTGGCCGGCAGAGCAAATTGCTGTGAAGAGTGGCATTTAAAGCCTTCAGCACGGCATGTAGGCTCTCATACCAAGTCTCAGTTCCATTGGTAGTCTCCATAGCAACAGGGATTGAGGTGGGGGAAGACTCGGTAGAAGCTCTGTTGGCAAGAGAAAAGAGAGAGGGGATGGCTCTGTCACCTGGAGCTCAAATGACCTCTTCCCTTCAGATCCCAGTAAAATCCTAGCATCATGGCTGATATGGTTTGGCTGTGTCCTTACCCAAATCTCATCTGGAATCATAGCTCCCATAATCCCCATGTGTCATGGGAGGGACCCAGTAGGAAGTAACTGAATCATGGGGGTGGGTTTTTCCCATGCTGTTCTCATGACAGTAAATAAGTCTCAAGAGATCTGATGGTTTTATAAAGGGCAGTTCCCCTGCACCTGCTCTCTTGCCTGCCACCATGTAAGATGTGCCTTTGCTCCTCCTTTGCCTTCTGCCGTGATTGTGAGGCCTCCCCAGCCATGTGGAACTGTGAGTGCATTAAACCTCTTTTTCTTTATAAACTGCCCAGGCTCGGGTATTCCTTCATGGCAGTATGAAAATGGACTAATACAATAGCTTATTCTGGTTACTTGATTACATGTTTGTCTTTTCCACTAGACCACATACTAAATAATAAAGGCAGGGCCTATATTTGTTTTACTGACTGCTATATGCAATCACTTATGACAGCACTCGGTAAGTACTCAATAAATAATTGTAGAATAAAGCCTTCCCCGACCATCAGAACCCACACTAATCTCTCATTTCTTTAGATTCTATAAATCACTGAACTTTAGGTTAGAAGGACCTTAAGGATTATTTAATGTAACTCTTGCCATTTTACACACAGGGAAACTGAGGCCTTGAGAGAATAAGTGGCTTGTCCATGATCACAGAATATTGGAGGTAGAGCCAAGACAGAAAGCCCTGCTCCTTGTGGCTAGCTTAGAGCTGCTTCCACTTCCAAGCTAGCTCTCAGCAGGACTGTGTGGCACCATAAGAAGACATTCATCACAACTCTCCTTCAGCACAGTTCTCTTTATAGACTCCACAGACAGGCTGGGCACAGTGGCTCACGCCTGTAATCCCAGCACTTTGGGAGGCTGAGGCGGGTGGATCACTTGAGGTCAGGAGTTGGAGACCAGCCTTACCAACATGGTAAAACCCCATCTCTACTAAAAATACAAAAATTAGCTGGGCGTGGTGGTGAGCACTTGTAATCCCAGCTACTTGGGAGGCTGAGGCAGGAGAATCGCTTGGACCCAGAAGGTGGAGGTTGCAGTGAGCCAAGATAGAGCTGCTGTATTCTAGCTTGGGCCACAGAGTGTGACTTTGTCTCAAAAGAAAAAAAAAGACTCCATGGGTACACCTTTTTGGAAGATGCCTGGGGATGGTTTAAATTTCATCCTACCTAGAGGCCAGAAGCTGGATCATTTGACCTCTCAAGCATCCTGTGTCCCAAAGACTAGATATTCCTAGCTATTTGCAGAAATTCTGTTGGAAAGGAGGTGGTCAGGGAAATGGGAACAGGTTGGCAACCACTGTAGGCACTGGAGAAGAGAAGAACAGCTTGGGCCTGAGGGCGGGAGAGTGAAAGGAGTTCTCAGTCTGGCTTGGGGTTTACCTGCCCACAAAAAGAAGACACAAGCACGCCAACTATCTTGTCTCCTGAAATAAAGTCATTATGTACCTGGCATATACTAAGTGATTATAAATGTTCCTTTTCCTTCTTCTCAGAGATCCTTAGTCTATAATATAGAAATAACCTTTTTTATTTTATTTTATTTATTTATTTTTTTTGAGATGGAGTCTCGCTCGTCGCCCAGGCTGGAGTGCAGTAGCGCGATCTCAGCTCACTGCAAGCTCTGCCTCCCGGGTTCACGCCATTCTCCTGCCTCAGCCTCCCCAAGTAGCTGGGACTACAGGCGCCCGCCACCATGCCTGGCTAATTTTTTTGTATTTTTAGTAGAGATGTGGTTTCACCGTGTTAGCCAGGATGGTCTTGATCTCCTGACCTCATGATCCACCTGCCTCAGCCTCTCAAAGTGCTGGGATTACAGGCGTGAGCCACTGTGCCCAGTCAGAAAGAACATCTTAAAACAGACTTGCATCCTTGTCTCTGAAAAACCATATGTCATTCCCTGTAAACAAGGCCCCACACTCACTTCCTTTAGGGAAGCCTCCGTTCAGTGCTCCCCACCCCTCAGCCACACTACACCACCTTTATCATCACAGCCTTCCCTTCCCCCAACACTTAACATGTAAGGCAATATGTGGCTATCCTCTTGTTTTTGATAAGGATATCATCAGGCCACATGCGCCTGGTCAGCAGGGCTATGTCTCTTCCTCCAATCTGGAGGACTACCCTGAGACTGGGTGTTCTCCTTTCCCAGGGCACTACCCTGCGACTGGCTGGGCATTCCCTTTTTCTAGGGGACTGCCCTAAGACTGAATGGGTGTTATCCTTCTCTCAGTAGTTTCTAGTAAAGATGTCCACTTTAAGGAATTCTCTATGGGCCAAGCATTCAGTCCTCCATCATATGGGCAGAACTGTTAACAAACTAAAGTTAACTAATGTGATTATTAACCATAAGATCTCTTCCCTGGAAGATATGATCATTCTGACCATGATAAATATTCATCAGTGGCTCTATGAACGCAATTAGCCAGGACTGGGCAGCATTTTATGCAAGGCCTTTGGGGCCCTCTGCCATCTAGTACTTGTGCTGTCCTGTCTGGATGGAGGAGGGGAGAAGAACAAGAGCTCACTGAGTTAAGATCCAGGAGACATACGTTCTCATCTACTACCCCATGTGTCAGGCAAAAGATCTGTGGCTGCTTCTTCCCTCGTGTCTGCCAATAGCAAGTAGGAGCAGCATGAGGAAATAAATAACTCAAAAAATCATCCAGATAGTTATCACCAATATAGGCCAGGCCCTGTGATGGGAGCTCGGGGTGGCTCAGATCCAGTGCCTTCGCCCAGATCCAAGGGCTCTGCTCTGATACAATGCAGGGGACAAGCCAGGAGCTACTAAGGCTAAAAGGAATAAGTAATGGATACTGATCAGGGCTTAGAGAGTGTCCACAGTGATGGAGGCATTTGAGTTGGACCTTGAAGGATTTTTAAGAGGCAGAGAAGACAAAGGAAGGCAACATGAGCAAAGGCGCAACAAAGTGTGTACATGTTTAGAAGAATGGAAAGTAGCATAAAGAGGTTGAAGTGTAAGATGTGTAGAAGAATAGCATAGGATGTGGGACAGGAGAGATAGGAGCCAGATCATGGGCAGCCTTGAGTGCCACTCTGTAGAGTTGGAACTTTATTCTGTAGCTAGGGAAGATAAAATGGTCAGATCTGTGCCTGGAAAGGATACTCTGACTGTCATGTGGACTGGAGGGAGCTGGAATTGAGGCAGTGAGCCCAGCTACAAGAGTCTTGAAATAGTTTAGTGCAAGATGCTGAGTCACGAGTTGGGGCAGAGAGGATAACAAAGTGGGGAAGTGGGGGTAGAGACAGATGTGAGACCCGAGGATGAAATGGCCAAGTAAGGGTTGAAGGAGGAAGGAGCCTCAGGCAATTTCACAGGTAGACAACAAACAAACAGTGTAAGTGTCTGGAGGAGCCTACTCTGAAGGAAATAAGTTCCTTTCCCTGGTTGGGCTTCGGTTTCCTCATCTACCAAGAGATGACCATAGAGTTGTTGTATGGTAGGTATAGAGTTCCAGTTTTGCAAGATGAAAAGGTTCTGGAGATCTGCTGCACAACAAGGTGAATCTAGCTAACACTACTGAGTGTATACTCAAGAATGACTAAGATGGTACATTTGTGTGTGTGTGTGTGTGTGTGTGTGTGTGTGTGTGTTTTAAGCACAATTTAAAAAAATAGGCCAGGTGCGGTGGCTCACTCCTTTAATCCCAGTACTTTGGGAGGCTGAGGTGGGCGGGTCACCTGAGGTCAGGAGTTCAAGACCAGCCTAGCCAACATGGAGAAACCCCATCTCTACTAAAAATACAAAAATTAGCCAGGCACATGCCTGTATTTCCAGCTGCTCAGGAGGCTGAGGCAGGAGAACCGCTTGAACTTGGGAGGCGGAGGTTGCAGTGAGCCGAGATCATGCCACTGCACTCCAGCCGGGGCAGCAGAGCAAGACCTCTGTATAAAAAAAAAAAAAAGAAAAAAGAAAAGAAAAATGATCATCCTTGGCCTCCTCCTTCAAGGCTTGCTATGAGTATACACTTGTATTATATAGAAGAGGATTAAAAACTTTTTATTTTCAAGAAGCAAATATGTATACATAGGTTTAAAAAAAAAGAATGGACGCAGCACATACTGTGAAGGTGAAAGCTCCTAGTCGTCCCGAGCTCCAATCCCAGGGCAGGGCAGTTACCATTCAGTTTTCTTACGTATCATCGGAAAGGGGTTTTAACTGACAGGGAGAGGGAGGGAAATCTCAATCTGGAAGACTCACCAGCTGGCAAATTCGCTGGCTCTCAGTCAGTTTCAGGAGGCTCTTTGTGGACACACTAAGGCTCCTCAACCCCCGAGCCTCTTCAGGATGTCTCTGGACACATCTGAGATCTCAGTATTGACTTCGGAGCTGGGAAAGCCCAGAGCTAGAAAGCAGAAAAGGAAGGAACCAGGGTGGATTGCCCAAGGCCAGGCCCCAAGGATTGTGCAATAGTCCTGCTGTGGGCTCTGACCCCCTCCCACAGCCCCTCCCCTTCCTGCAGCAGCTGGGTCAGGCCAGCCTAGGGTTGCAGTTAAAGGAACTGTGCAGTGACCAAAGGGCCTCTGATTGCTGTCCCCCAACTCCAGACTTAGTGTCTTCATTGGGTGACATCATGAGAAATCTATTTAACATGTGGACTCACACTCAGGGACCAGCTGATGGTGCAGCCTAAAACATTCCCTTTCCTAAGGGTTACCTTAGCAAGGGCCTTTTAGAATGCCAAGGGAACAGACATGAGTGGGAGAATGGCAGCTGCGTTGATATTTTACACAGGAACAAATGATGTGTTACCACCCAATCTATTCAGATAGACAGGATATGAACACGGTCACAGAATGAGCACTATCTGTAGCAGAGCTTTGTTGTGAAAATTAAAGAACATCATGTAGTGCTTGGCACTAGACACTGCACAGATGGCGGTGGTTGTATTTTGTAGAGCAGAGGCTGGAAGGGCCTTCAGAGCCCATCTAGGCTATATGCCCTTACTTTACGGTGAAGGAAATGGAAACATAGGGGGTTGTCCCGGCTCAGCTGCTCCTTGTGTGACTTTGGACATAAGACTTCCCTTTTCTGTGCCTCAGCTTCTGTCTGCATCTGTAAAATGAAGGGGTCCCAGTTGGTTCTAATGTCCTGTGATGATTTGAATCATGAAACCAAGCTGTGAAACCATGGGAAGTTAGACAGGCTGATGGGAGAAGCATTTTGGGGGATTTCTAGAGCTTCTCAAATCCCAAGATAGAGAAGGCTGTGGACCTTTTCCTCACAGGTTAAGATGCTTCTGAGCCCT